TGGCCCATGACGTAAGCACCGGTGACGTAGGCCGATTCACAAGAGAAAAAGTGTTGAGGAAGCAACTACAGGTGAAATTTGGGGCGAGGGAGTGCGTGTTCGTTCGGGGGGTGTTAACAACCGAGGTTGGGCCGTGTGTTTATTTCCCGGGACATGGAAGTGTATCACCGGCGAAATATCACTGGACACAGATTGATTGATTGATTGTTTTAGTGATTCCGGGCACATCAACTACAAGAGTTATTAGTCCTGTAAATGCAGTGCATGTTTTTTCTTGAAAGGTGGAAGTAATATTTCCATCGCTGGATGGTGAGACCCGGCGCTGACCTAACGTCGGCTACAGGAGCTTTCCCCAACCAGGTATCTCCCACTAGCGGGGCATTGTTCCAGCCTTGAGAAGCTCTAAGCTCTCCAGTGGTTTTCCGACATGTGTGGTAGTGTAGTGCATGTTGGGATAAGTGTGTGTAATGGGTGAAGATATGACAAGAAAGAGGCAGGAATGGCCATGCGTGGTCCGAGGCCCGTTTAATTGAATTGAATTGAATTATGCCTTATTTTACGTGGCGAGACTCAGGCCATTAGGCCTGCTCTTCCGTCTGGACCCACGCAAGCTTTCGCTACGCTCTTTTCACCCAACCGAGAAGGAGGATTCTTGTGGCGAGAAAAGGCGACTATTGAAATTAGGCCTCAGAGGGGGCCATCATTTTAGGCTTGAGGATCTTTGTACATGCAAGTAATCTACGAACATGGGACAGCCGGCTTTACTTCCTCTCCCGTAAGGAAGGCGTTCACGAAGCGATTTTTCGCCCTTAAAATCACGGCTTCAGATCGGAGTTTGAAACCCGCCAACTTGGGTACAAACAGTCCAGATACCGCTAACCGTTACCACCAGTCGCCGTTCAGCTCCGGCATGTTCACTAGTGTTGATGGGATAAAATCACGCGGGGAAAAACAAACCGGATCAGAGCAGACCGCGCTAGAATTCCCTCCACGAGAGCGACTGAATTTGACCGTACCTGACAGATAGGTGTCGAAAACGTTTATGGTAATGTGGCGCGTATTGCTTGTTATGGCGAGTTCCGGGCCCACTACGGTCGGCCTAGCAGCGCGTTTTTCCCTAACTAGGCATCTCCAACCCACGGTTCACAGCCGCCCCAGGCGGGGCAAGCTTTAAATCTCTGGCCTCCCTGTATGCCAGTGTAGTGCACTGTTTTTGTTATAGCTGTGGCTGATCCGTAAGTTGGGGATGTGAGATAGGGTAGCAGGAAGCAAGAGGATGAGTCTGAGATCGCCGCGCAGTTCGTGCCAGTTTGTAATGTACTGCTCCGGCATTCGCTGATGTTCACAGGAGAAACCACAAAAACCTAACCGATCGAGCAAGCGGTCGCGAGATACTTCTCCTCCAGACGAAACAACCATAGAGCAGACCGGGACGCTAGCAATTCCCCTCCAGAGAGCGACTGAATTTGACCTACCTGACAAGATAGTGTCGAAAATCCAGCCATCGTCCGAACGTAGGACCTCCTGGTCAGAGGGACCGCAGTGACATCAGTTGATGGCGTCTCTCCCGGTCTCACCACAGAGATTCGGCCTCGTTTACATGTTGACCTGCGCGGATTCCTCGCCATAGAAATTTTCTCAAACAGGGTAGAGACGCAGCCGGGGCAAGGCCTTGCCCTCCAACAAGAGAATTGTTGTTTTACAGAAGTGTGTTCGTGTGTATTCAAAAAGGAACGAGAAGGCAAGAAAAAAATTTGCAAATTTCAATTTCTTGGTGGTTTTTTTTTTCGCGAGGAGAGTATTTAACGAAAAAGATGAGCTAATAGACTAGAATTTCCAAACTTATAATATGATTATTACGTAAACGTACACATAGTACGTGAAAGTAGACGTTGTTGTAGCTCTTTTAAAAGTAGGCTTATAAGTAGTGTTCTTGTAATTGTGTACGCGGCTGAGTTTAATTTTGGCCGCAATACACGAATGTCGTGGTAGTTTCAAAAATGAATTTTTTGAGTTCTATTTTTCGGTGACTTTATACAGTTTCTGATTCCCGATTTTTGTTGACCTTTTGATGTTACGAGTTTCGGAAGTAATGATATGTTATGATGGTCAGAAATTCGGACATTATAATATTACGTATCGTCCCTCATGCGAGAAAGTTCGTGAGGTGGTAGGACAATTATTTATTAGCTATATTTCTTTCTATCCGTTCAACTTGTTTTCAGAATTTTCCGGTTTCTTACATTTTTACTTTCATCGGCATTTCCACTTGCCAGCGGTTGCCTCTAATTTTGTAGATCCAGCCTTCTGTATCCGTCCATGAGTCGTCATCCATTCGTCTTTCACGCAAGGCATCAAATATTCCTCAATTCCAGTTTTTACGAGACATTCTTCATTTTATTCTTCTTGGAGGAGATCAATGAAAATCATTTTTAGGGCATCTTCAATGTGTAATTCTTCTTAAATGGCTATACCATTGCAGCGTTTTACTTTCTTATCAGCAACAACAAAATTCCTTTTCTGGACCCATTTCCTGAACTCTGTTTCTGATTCTTTGCATTCTAGAAATTCGGCAGCTCTTTCGTAGTCCATCCATTTCAACTGCACACAATTTCGGATTCTGACGTTTTGTCAAGGTCCCACTCTCTTCGCCATGTGTAAGAACGTGCGTATCCCTGCGAAAACTCCCTCATTTTAAACTCTACCCTATTACCTATCTTTCCATTTACTTATTAAGAGAAGTTGTTAACGAAACGTGTTTGTATTTTTTAATTAAAAAGGTAACTTTTAATGTACATGTAGATTTGAAAATAAAAATAAAGAACATTGAAATTGACTTTTGAAAAAAAATTAAATAAAGGTTTATTCAGTATTATAGACATATTCTTGAAACAATTCACAATACTTCCTTAAAAACAGCATTGGCAATAATTATACAATCTTCCTTGTCAGTTACCTTTTTGCTTTCTTTGATAGTCACAAAAACATTTAAAAAGGTTTTACTCTCGAGAAAGCTACTTAAAGTTATCCATGAGAAAATACAGGTCTAGGCAAGCGTAACTCTACTCTTTGAAAGGTTATTTAACATTTTTACGAAAATGAGAGGTACACCAGTACAATTTAATCGCCTAGAATACAAAGTGATTAGTTTTATTTCACACATAGTTCCAGATTCTGTAGGTTATTGATTCTGAAAATTCTGAAAAAAAGATTATATCACAAACTTTTCACAGAAACAAGAATGTCAATACATACATTCACATACATCCATTCGCAATACTCATTAAAACATTTAATTTAATAGGACAAGCAATTCTATTTATTACCAAATTGGTTTAATAAATAAATATTAATATAATTTCATACAGTTGTGTGCATTTATACTGTTTGTTCATACATATTGCATAAATAAGATCATATTGTTATGTTACATATTCCATCTCTTTTTATATCTTCGTTCTTGTTACATATTTTTTCTGTTTCATACATTTACGTACATATTTTTTCGTTCCACACCACACATTTTTCCGGACTCTACTCGTCATATGCACGTCGATTTACCCTCTCCTTCCCCATCTGTTTCCCTCTGCCTTTCACAGAGTCAAACTCGCAAGCACAAACTCACACTCACACATACACACACACGTATGGGGAGGCAAAAGCAAACACGTGAACGCGATGTCCGCATAGGGGGGTTTCGCTCTGCAGCGCTCCCCACAGCGCGTCTGCCTCAAGCTGTGCTACCTTGGCCTAATCCGCATTATCACGACGCGCTCCCCGCCACAGCGGCGACGATTTAGCTCCACTCCCCGCACGCCGCGCCGCTTCCCGCAAGCAATTAGCTCCCCCCTCCCTCCTGCGGGAACGCACAGTGGCTGAAAAGCGGAGGAAGGGATGACAAAGATTCATTCCCTGAGTTTAAATGAGGAGCTACTAATCAAATCACGTATTGTTCAGTGATGGAATAAAGTGAATTCGATATGAAATTGTGTGGTTTTTAATATACTCTACAAGCCTATGATTTCTTCTAAACGCATTTAATTTAATATGTTAAAAATTGGTTTGAAGAAATCTAAAAGTAGGAACGTGTAGAACGCATTAAAAAATACACGAGTTTATATCAAACTCATTTATTTCCACCGGTGGACAATATGCGTTTAGATTTGTTGCTCCTCACATTAGGGAGAAACAATGTTGGATTTTCATTTTTCACAATGTTTAAAATATCTGAGGGTTCTGGTCCATGAGTGATGAAACTTTTGCGTTAGCTTTGTGTGAATGTCATGAGTGAGTGTTATGATAAATGGCATACATTGTTATTGATGTTATTACGTCGATGAATAGCATTTAACTCTCGCGACAGAAGTTAGTGAAAAGAGGCGGCGGCTGAAATATCCATAAAATAAAGATTTTTTCTTTGAATACGAGTTCTTTATTGCCATTATTATTAACAATTCATTAGTGTGGATTTTTTAACGGAAACAGTACTGTTAAGAGGATCCGGAAGGCCCTGTCTCTCTTATGTAATTTGGCGGATTTTTATTTTCCTTTTCCCAGGAATTATTCATACCAACTGCATTAAAAAAACAAGGTGCAATAGTAAGCCTATAACCACATTTTAACCATTAGCCTTTCCAAAATAATTTTCTAATTTTTATAAAAAAATATTTAATAATTTCTTTTATTTTTTAAACATTTGTGTACATTTATTTATAAATCTTCACATTCCTCTTTTTTGTAAAAGTAGAATAGAAATAATTTCCCGTGCGTCAACTCCATTAATAATCCCTGTAAGTATATGTGGTAACTTTCCCCGTATTTCGTATGAAATGTCACCCACGACCATACATTTTCCGAATAGAGCTGATTGATTCGATAATAAATATCTGAATGTAAAAGAAGATCATGAGAAAAGAAAGAAAGAAATTGAACTGTATATATTTTTAGGAGAAAGCTATAACCGGATAGGATACTGATAATTAAGGATTGTTTTTCGTTTCTCTTACAAGTTACATAAAATTAACGGTAAAGTATAACAAAAAATATATATTTATAAATTAAAACCGTATCGTAAAGTTGTAGGTCTACCTTTGCATCACAGTCAGAGGTGTTTGTTGAGGCGAGTAGTTCAGGTGCAAATCGTCGGAAGGTATCAAACCTGAAGTGAGATCTACGACTGAGCTCTTTCAGAAGCAATTCGTTCCAAAGAATGCTAGAACAGGGAAAAGCAACGGAAGATTAGGCTAGGTGTAGTGAAGGGGCATAGAGAGGAGGAGGTAAACCATCAAGGAGTGTCTTTCCTAAGGTCAAACGAGCGTTGCGTTGGCGCGCGTTAAATAACACTTATGCGGAATGGTCAAGAGCGCTCGTGTGTTGTGTATATAAAATGATCTAAATCTACGTAAAATAAAATCTAATGTACATATTTACCCCAGTCATTTGCTTTTGGTTGAATAATTCGTTGCAACATTATCTTCGATACGTTATTGTCTACCGTATTTTTTTAAAAGAAAGATGAACTTTTTCAGTTACTGAAACAATTGTGCAAATGTTTTTAAGTTCGTTAACTATGAAATCACTTATTCACATTTTGTTATTTTTGTGTTAAAGATTCCTTTAAAAAAGTAGTTATTTCTATTAATCCCTGGAGTCAGCTAACACCACCTTCGGCTCTATAGTACAAGCTCGCTAGTGGTACGACCTTGACTTTGCGTAGCTGCACTTGTCATAAAATACATGAAATAGTCTTATAACCTTGTATTACAATAATCTTAGAAATTTTACACATTAACTAGCAGATGAAACTGACAAATACAGAATTATTGACAGAGTAACGATTCAAGCAACCATCTCCTGATGTTCCTACTGCAGCGTCGTGGTGAATCGGCCGACTTCTGTGGTCGAGGTCAATGAACCGTCCTCGTAAATACGGCGTAAAATCCAAGCACGTCTATGCTTTCGCTTGTCCGCTCAACGTTTTGTTCCGTTCAGTGACGTGGAAATTAATACAATATTCCCTTGATTGAATAACATAAGGATACGGAATTAGTAACAGACTAAATGAGAAGTACAAACATAATATAAAATACCAAGAGAAAGCCATAAGAGAAAATACATCTACAGTTTAAATTCCCTTATTATATTATATACGTCGTCGCATCAACAATGTAAAATGAAATAAAACATTTACTTTTCCTAAACTTAGATTGACATTATCCACTCTTTATTTAATTCTACTGTTCTCTTAATAAAATTACGATCATTGTGCAGTCTGCGTATTAAAGAAGTTTAATTACCTTTTTCCCAGCTTCTGGTCCACGTATCTGCAACGCTCCTAGGTAACACTATTCTCCCGTGAGTCAACCTTTCCTCTCTGGAGTTCGTTAGAAAAATGGTCGTGCGTTTCAGGTTTAAATTCATATATTAAACTTACAAATTCGCTGATTGGCTGAGCTGATCAAAGGTGTGATTTTACGGTCAGCGGTGTCTTTGCAGAGCTCTCTATCCGTCTGTTTCTGAACTAGGTCAGTGTGTCGGTATGTTGTGGCAGAATTAAAAAGTTTTTGGAGCGACAGCGTGTAATCGCTAATAACGAGCAGTCACATGATATCCTATTTTCCACATGAGGGATCTGAGGGGATGCAGATCTGAGGCCGTTCTGTTACGTTGCGTCTGCTATTTGAACAACATAGAAAGCTTATCTCTAAATTCTATATGACTCTACTTAGATGAGTAACCAAACTACAAATATATGTCATTAAATAATGCGTTACGCTAGACTTCCCCGCACTGTCGAGAATAAATATATTGTATGTTGTTTCATACTTACTGATAAATAAGTATTACTTATTTGACTCTTCTTTATCATAAAATAAATACTTACTTTTTTTTGCTAATCGAACCTGTACACATATTATATTCACAACTGTTTATTACATTTTATTGCCCATACAATTCGCAGATATCAAAATTGGTCAATTTAACAACGTATCTTTTTCAACGACCATAAAAATGTAGCTCGGATATTTGATTCGAAAATTAGATAACTCGGGCACACACACACACACACACACACACTAAAAACGTTGTCAGACTCAGACTTGACACAAGTTTCTCTATGTACATTGACGCGATCAATTCGAATCTTAGGACAGAAATGAGAGACTCTCCTATTTTTTTAAATCGTATAAAAAGAAAAAAAATATCGTGAAATTTATATTTTTGTTTTTGAGAGTTGTTGTCAGACCCGACTAGACACATGTTTTTCTGTGTACGTCGATGTGCTAAATCTGAATGTGAAGCAATAATTGCGCCACCACAATCTTTCAATCACAAAAACCACCGTGAAATTGTAGGTTGCAAAATTTCACGATGGTTTTTGCGGTTTAAAGAAAATTGGAGGGTGGTGGCGCGATTCTGGTTTCAGATTCAATTCAGCGCGTCGACGAACACATAGAATCATGTGTCAAGTCTTTGGGTCTGCCAACTTTTTTTGTGCATGTGTAAACATATCGGGAGCACAGCTAGGCTGGTGCCCGCAACTTCGGGCTTCTAAATGACAGCCCCCAACGACCTCTAGTAAAATATTTAGTTCCTGTTCAAAACATATTTTGAATATTCTGTAGTAAAACATTGTGTTACAGTTCATGTCTCCAGATGTTCATGTTTCCAGAATACAAAAGGTTAATCCTTGTTATTGCTGTAATTGCTTTAAAGAAAATATTATTCGAAAGAAACATCATTATGTTTAAGCACTTAGTAATCACTTATACTCGGTTTGTCAGACTCTTGCCGTCGGACCTTAGCGCCGGTTCTTTACTGTAGAAGTTACTTCCTGCCGGTTCCTTACTGTAGAAGAGACGAAATAAGTAAAAAAAAATAGTAACTGGTACTTTTTGTGTTTCATGTAATGAACTTGTTCGACATGGTGTGTCATTATTATTTATCAGTTATTTATCATTTAGATAATGAATTAATATTTTACGGATTTCAGTTTTAGTGCAATGGAAATCTTGAAGGCATTGTTTGATGGATGATTTATTTCAAATGGTAAAATGGCTAATAATATATAGCGTACGTATGTAAATTGGACTTAAACTCCTGATACGTTTTTTGAGAATCTCACGATTGGAACTTTTTGCAGTATAATTTATTAGTTTCAGTTTTCAATGACGTATTTGCAGTTTTACTTTCTTAAGCCAACATAAGCGATGTTTAAAAAATATGGCGTTGAAACAGAGAACCTGTACACATGGGCCTAGGATGTGACGTGACGGACCGTGACGTCGAAGTAGTAGATGGTGGATGACGGGCCAATAACGGGACGTAATTTCCTGCAGATCACTAATAAAGATAAGGGTTGCTAACATGCTGCTCAAACACTATTTCCACGTGCAAACAGATGAATGCGGATTAAATCGTGCTTGCGCACGTGGCAGTCGCATTGAAGGAGTCTTGTGTTTTGGTGACCATTGCATTCCATTATGTCTTTGGAAACAACCAATGGATTTTGAAAATCTACTAATTAATAAAGATGTGTTTTAACGTGATAGTAATATAGACTCTACAAAGTTACTTAAAAGTCTATTTGGTCGACACTATAAAGGTAATTAATTCTAAAGTTCATTACCATTGGCTTGTTACCGAACCAATTTGAAAGATTGAAATAATCCTTAGATTAATGGTGGTTATTTATGGTTTAAATAACACAATTTTTTTAGATAAATAAATAAAATAAACTAACTTATTTATTCATATCTAACATATTTTATGTTGTAGAATATTTAATTAATGTGCACTGACGCGATTATGAATGAAGATTACATCGTTAGGGATGCAACGAATATATTTTAAACTTCTTTCTTCCTTCTCGAATTAAAGCATGTGAAAAACACTTTGAAGAAACTGTCATCATGTAATAAATCTATTGAGTTGTAACAAATAATCCACACAAGGGCCTCAATAAAACCTAAACAAAAGTTTCCGAAGCATTCGGGACTCTTCTATGTAACCAAACCTTTCTCATTTTACTATCTATCACGCCAACTTTGTTTCTTTCATGAATATCAGACTGAAGGTTTTTCTTTAGCCGCTTGATAATTTTTCTCCTCCTGCACCCTGCCCTAAAAGTGAAGTTATGTGTATACTGTCCGGCCGCAGTGATTTCGTGCGCGACCAGGTGATTGAGGATTAAACCGCGAGAGTGCGCGTGGGGCGAGCGAACGGCCGCGCTCTGAAACACTGCAGTGAATCAGGGCACGCGCAGTGCCGCAAATTAGTAATTCACGGTCTCCTGCTGAATGCCTCGTTACTAGCGACAGACGTGTGGACGCGATGAATGACGAATAACGCCGCAACTCAATGTGAAGGAAGCCTAGTGACTTACTAGTGCGGAAGTGAGAGAGGCAACATTTCTAGTAATGCCGTTCCCCTCTTTCTCTCTTATTCTCTCTCTTTCTTTCTTATTCTCTCTCTTTCTTTCTTATTCTCTCTCTTTCTTTCTTATTCTCTCTCTTTCTCTCATATTCTCTCTCTTTCTCTCATATTCTCTCCCTTTCTCTCATATTCTCTATCTTTCTCTCATATTCTCTCTCTTTCACTCATATTCTCTCTCTTTCTATCATATTCTCCCTCTTTCTATCATATTCTCCCTCTTTCTATCATATTCTCCCTCTTTCTCTCATATTCTCTCTCTTTCTTTCTCTCATATTCTCTCGCTCTCATATTCTTTCGCTCTCATATTCTTTCGTTCTCATATTCTTTCGTTCTCTCTTTTTCTCTCGCTCTTTTTCTCTCTTTCTCTCTCTTTTTCATTCTTTCTCTTTCTTTCTCGTTCTTTCTCTTTCTTTCTTTCTATCTCTTTCTTTCTCATTCTTTCTCTCTCTTTCTTTCTTTCACAAAATAGATAAAAAGTGACGGCTTCCAATACTTACAAATGAAATATAATGCACTGAGTGGCACAAAAGTAAAACGTAGAAGGAATTTTCATTGACCCTCGAATTTGTGAGAAAATGAAATTGCACAAATTCGAAGCATTGGTGAGCTATTGTGAAAAAGGAACTTGAGATGCGTATAAAGATTTTCTGAGTAACCATCAAACTGAAAATTGCTCTGACCTCGTAAGTCTCATGATCAGAACGTATAAAGCCACATGATGTCCCTCAAACAGAATTTGTTCACCCACATTTAGACTTCTCTCCTTCTCACCTTAGATCCCTTGGAGACAAACAAGGAGACCTGTTTCACAAATAGATAAAATATGTGGAACAACTTTATAAATGAATAGTTTCACCTAATTTAATAGATAATTGCTACCGGAACGCAGTATCAGAAACTGAACCAACTGCCTGCAAGGGGTAGTATATTAGAACAATTTTTTGATGTTAGGAGTAATCTATATTTTTCTATAAGAAAATGTATAAAATGTGTTTTACTAGTGACAATATTACTAATTAACACCATAAATTAATATGCACTACATATATAGACTCCCTGTAATACATATTTAGTATAAGCAGTTTCTAATATTGAAGTCCCACTAAACAAACATTAACCATGACATTGAAAATTTTATTTTTGTTTCTCTACTATTTCAAAAATGTTTAATGTTGTTTCCACGAAGAAATGGTATGTGATGCTACATTTTTAACCTTGTAACTGAATTTAGCGCTTGCAAATTTGTACACAAAACCTGTTTTCTCTTACCAGGAAGGAAATAGTTCTTATATTTTCCTCAGTATATATATTGCCACATTCATAGTATGTTGCGATTCTATCAGTCTGTTTTTTGACTTTACATAATTTAGAATTTTTTTTGTTTACTAAACATATTTAGTGCATTCAACTTATGTATTTTAATTTTCTTTCGTTCTAATCACATATATTTTTTCATTGACATCATAGTGGATACTTAATAGAGTGATAAATAACTAATATTTGGAATATGATAATAGCTTTCACATTACATGTGTTCAAATAGACTATTGTGTAGAGGTAAATGCAGTTTCATGCATGTCTGTCAAAAATTGCTGCCTATAGAAAATTACCCTGTTGCCATACTGTTCATTACAGGCTATTTAAATGAACAAAAAAGTGGATACAAAATGCTTGTATACTACTCACCATGTTTTCGGTTGAACCAAGCTTTTTAATAGGAGATGCTAGCTTGGAATAAAGCTATTCACAAAAATGTTCACAAAACTGTTTGTAAAGAAGCAATAAGTGCTACAAATTAAGAGCAATGATGTTTAGACGTTGTCGAATTTGTGTTGATACTTTACCTTTAAATGGAAAAAAAAATCCCTCCTAATGCGTGACGAATGGTATTGAGTTTTGTAAGTGATGGCTGAGATGTGTTAATACGGAGAGAATTTTCTTTAATATAATTTTAAGTAACCTTTATAGACGCGAGAAAGTATATGCTGATGTAGCTCCACTTGTTTGGTTATTCCAAGGCACCTACTGTGATGAAACGTTCTAAAATAATATCCTACAAATTTTTGTATAGTTTCAATCATTTTGAATCCTCTATTCATCAAATTGACAAAAATAAACCTAATTTTTTATTAACACAGAAATTATAAAAGTGTTCATTAATTGGATTGTTGGTGAAGTAGATACCTTTTTATTATGATAAATAAATAAGGATATTGTCATGTATCAATATTTTAATTCAACTTATGATCATTTCGATCGCGTAGCGATCGAAATGATCATAAGTTGAATTAAAATATTGATACCTGACAATATCGTTATTTATTTATCAAAAAGTGTTCATATATTCATTTGAAATTGATACTTTTTAAAGTACATTTATATGCTGGAAAATGAAGTATCCAGGCAACTACGTTTAAAATGTATTTTTTGTAGTACGTAGACAATAAATTCACATGGGTTTCGTGCAACTACGTGTACTATTTTCCTTCCGTGTGTTCGTATGCGAAGTGAGTGTTGGGGGATACTTCATATGACTTATTGCCGAACATTTTGGTGGATTTTACCACAAAGCAGGCCATTCATTTACTTTATCCACACGCCCGTCTATCTTTCTTTACGCACTATATCTCTAGTCCGATTCTCATGAACCATAAAGATGATGGATTCGTTCTCTACTACCGCATGGGCGTCGGGCGTAGTGTTGTGCACGCCTGCATCGCTTCTTGATGCTCTTCCGAGGTTCAGGAGCACGTTAATTCATTTATCTATTTTCATTTTCGTTAAGATATGGAATAAACTTTCGAACACTGTCACTTCACGAGCACTCGCAACTCACAGAGTGGCTCAGCTTGACGCCGACTGAGCTAACAAGGTAGCGCTGCGGTCACCAACCTCTCGCCACCGCTGTTAGCGCTGAAGCTGAAAAATGATTTCTGTTGTGCTAAAACATCTTTTTATTTTTTTACATTTCGTTGTAAAATAGTTCAGTTTTTTGAGCATGAACCGAATAGATAATCAATATTATGAGCCATAAAAAAGCGACGCAAAAAAGCAAAATATATTTGCAATAAAGAAAACAAATTTAATATATTTTAAAATAAAAATTGTTTACATTTTCTAACAGAGCACCCAAGCTAATTATTTGACGGTGTTAATTCGACGAGCTAACTTC